AAACCCTCCCCTGAGAAAAGCTGCCCGGAACTTGAAGGACTGCTTACAAGAAGGGGTTTCAAGCTCCCTTCGATTCCCTTCGAATCGAATCGGTGAATGCCTCCGGAAGAATCAATCCAAAACGTAGTATCGTGTTCTTATGTTGTTTTTGGGGGGTCCCCCTCCCCCCTACCACAACAATGCCGACATGACGTTTTTTCTCTTTACTTGAATGTTCTCCATTGCTTCGGTAGGAAACCCTCTATTTTCTCAAGCTTGCGCGGGAAAAATGCAACAAGGGGTGCCCTCCCCCCCTCCCCGCCCTCCCCCCACCCCCTCCATTTGTAAGCACCACGCTCGCATGACGGGTTTGGAAGGATCCATACTTCTGTTTCTTACTGCAAGTTCCCTCTTCATTGCAACATACAAGTCCTCGTCATGGGCTGATGTTCCTTCTTTTCAAGGCAGGGTTTCAACAATGAAGGAGGGGCGTTGAGCCCAACCCCCCCATCTATTCGTCTATTTGTAACCACAATGCTCGCACGACGAGTTTGGAAGGGGTTTCCATGCATTTACTGCAAGTCTGTTCATGGAATGATCCTCTTTACAAAGCAAGTTTGCACAGGCTAAAGAAACATATGCAATTGGGTTGGTTGAAAGGGGACCTGAGGGCCTTAGGCTTTAAGTTTAAACGGTCTTCGGCATTTGGCTGCATTCTTGTTTTCCACTGGTTTCTGACTCGGTCTTTGTCGTTTTCTGACTCAGTCGGTCCCCCTAAAGGACCTCCTGAGAAAATGCTGAAATCTGGGTGCCATGGGGCAGTACCCTTTCCAGAGCCAAAAACATCGGTTTCTTGGCCGTTTGTCTGCTGCACCCCTGACCCCGGCCCCGTTTACCCGACACGACCCTCCCCCTTTCCTAAATCCTGTATACCCCGAAGCCCCAAACCATCTACAAGCCCAAACCCCACAAGCCCAAACCCCACAAGCCCGAAGCCCGAAGTCTCGGATTCAAGAAGCCCGTAACCCTTTGCCAGCGGAGGCCGGCCGAGCGCCCCTGGCGCTGCTCCCCGAGGCCGGCCTTTGGACCCGTTTTGAACCCTTAGGCTTGTTCTGGTGCAGGGTTCAGGGTTAAAAGGGCGCTTCGCAACAGGGGAGTGGGGGGGGGCTTAAGAGAAGGCTTTTTGTCAGAGGTTTTGGCTTCCGGGGTTTGGGGTATAGGATTGATGGGATTTTTTTGGGGGGGATAGAAAGAGGTTTCGAGCGAATGTACTGGGGGCTTCGGGCTTGAGGGTTTCATTACGTCGGGCCCCGGGCTCTTCTTGGCTCTGTTTCATTGTCGGAAGGGTGCCTCAAAGTTGGGACCCAAGATCTTTGGCAGGTTCCACAAGCTTCCGGAAGGTAGGTCGCAGCACAATCTGCAAAGGCGCCATGTGCTCCCCCCTCCCTTTTTGCGAGGTCTGCGGCCACGTTCGAGGATTCGGCCCTGCGGACCTGCGCCTGCTCTTGGCGGCGTATGCCGGCCACGGTCAGGCGCTGCAGCTGAGGCCTGGGTTTGCGGGTTTAGCCGGGCTAGCAGCCGTTCGTGCTGTGGAGCCGCCTTCGAGAGCCCTCAGAGGCACCGAACGCCTGAGCTTGATTTCCTCCCACTTTCAGACCGTGTGACCGTGGAATGGTTGCAGGCAAGTTAGTCTAAAGTGCTGTCTATGCTTGCCCACAAGTGTGTTTGGGCACCCTAAACCCTCAGTGTCCAAAGCAATGGACCTGCAGCTTTCAATGATCCCAGGCTTACGTCCCTTGCAGCAGACGCCCCCAAATACTAGCTCATGTGCAATGCTAATCATTGCTAATCCTCGTAGAATTCAGAGTGTGAGGCAAAATGTTTCCAGTCGATGCGCCCAGAACTTCAACGCCCCCTAAACTAGACTCAGACCCACAAACCCATTGCCCAAGCCCTGAACCCTGAAGCTGCAAAGCAAGCTCCAGAAGCCTTCAGTCCCACGCAAGGCAAAGCCAGAGCCCCGCAACAGCAAGCAAGGCTGGGAAATCAGGGTGGGGGACACCTGTGCGTGCTTCTTCTGGCAGTTCTCCACTTTGGCACCTGACCTACAGTCGCCTCATTGATCGGGTCGGGGCACTGTGTTCAGCTCTCAGGGTTGCGGTTCCACGAATTTCGAGGGTTTGCTGCAGGACGTGCCGGAAGCTACAGTGACGCTGCAGGTCTGGACATCCGCCACATCGTTCGGGAAGCAAGAGTCATAATCAGTCAGCTAAGCTTTAGTCTGTCCATCAGGGCCTTTCCCTTGGACTTGATGTGATTTTCATGGATCAGCTATGCACTTAGATAGACTTGATGTGAATTTCATGGATCAGCTATGGAACATGCAGGAAAGCAGAAGAACCGCTTTGTGTAACCCCCCCCCCCCTCCCAACGGTGGTTCGCAGCAGTCTTCCTCAACCTCTGCCTGCTGCCTCCGCCTGTGTCTGTGGGCCTGAAACGGCCCCGCAAAAAAAAGAAAGAAAGAACTAAAAGAAAGGAAAGGAAAGGAAAGGAAAGGAAAGGAAAGGAAAGGAAAGGAAAGGAAGAAAGAAAGAGAAGAGTAATCTTGCACCTATACACTCATGAGCACGCATGTACATGGAGACATGCAGCATGCATTGTGCTCGCACGGTCCATACCTAGCTGACAGTCATGTCTGTCGAAGCCAGCGGGTTAGGACCTCGGCGCTTGACCTGATGCCTAGGTCCTGAAGCTCAAGCATGCGTGCATGCGACTGCTTTGTAGGGTTGAGTCCCGAGCTCCAATCTCTTGCCAGAGGACCTCGTCTTGCAGCTGCTGGTGGGCGGCTCGCGGCTCGGCACTCCGCAGCAGCTTCTGGAGACGGGGGAGGCCAGGGTTGGCGGACCTCGAGGGGCTTTCAGGATACACGGTGCTTGGCCCGAAGATCAGCTGAGGTCCGAGCTCAACTAGTCTTAAACGCTCTTACCCTCAGAACATCAAAGCCATCATGACGCTGCCTGCTCATAGCCGGTACAAGCTTGACAATACACGAGTGCCCTCGAAATCGATCGATTCGATGGATGGCAGCCCCTAAACCCTCAAACCTGGGCATAGGCCTCCTTTAGTAGCTTTGGGTCTGCCTTGAACTGCATGCAGGTGGTCTCCATCCACGCGCCATGCACCCTGACTTGAGCTTGCGTTGCTTTCTGCTCTCGACGTGTAGCAAATCAAGCCCAGGGCTCATTTTGCCTGCCCTGGGCTCCTTGCGGACTCGCACACTTCTGCTCAACAAAGGCCAACCAAAGCCAAACATGTTCTCGTTCAGCAGTTCCTGAGATTCAAGCAGTCGGAATCCTCTGGGCCACTCCTGGATCCCGGTCGAAGATGCACGCCAGAAGCTTTTGCTCAGGTCCTGGTGCCACAAGTCGCCGAAAGCAGATCTTCGAAACCCGCAACCAGAAACCCAAAAACGCATCTCGGCCCTAGATGTGCCGGTGCCGAGGCAGCTCTCAGCTAGCGGGCGAGCGGCAGACTCAGTTACCTCCTTCAGCTCCCCTCTCCATGACCATGTGTGACTATGCGAGACCATAGTCATGTCTCATCAAATCAGAGGCCTTCAGAAGCTCCCGACCCTGAACCTTCAACTCCAGACCATTGTGCTGCACCTTCAGTCGCCGAGCCCCCCCCAAAACCCTAAAACTGCAAAACCCTTCGGCTTTCCCCTAAACCGCCCGAGGTTCTGGGTGGTCTTCGCCGAGCGCGTCACGCGCCTGGCCGGCGGAGAGGGGCTGGAGGGCCGGCAGATGGCCTGGGCTGGGCGCCTCAGGGCCTTGAGGGCTGATTTAGGATTTAGGGGTTTAGGGGTTTAGGGGTTTAGGGGTTTAGGGGTTTAGGGGTTTAGGGGTTTAGGGGTTTAGGGGTTTAGGGGTTTAGGGGTTCAGGTTGATTGCCTGGGCGGCTCAGTAGACGGTTCTGTGTTTTTGAGGGTTTAGTCCAGTTAGGGTTGCGTGCTTGGGTTACAAGGGGCGGTCGCGATTGCTTGCAGAGCAACCTGCAGTCCCTGGCTTATTGAGGTAGATGGAGAGGTGGAGCTTCAGGATCTCTTGACAGCTTCATTGCTTGAGGAGTCGGTCCTTGCTTTCCTTGGTTTGGTTTTTGGCCTGCTTGGCTTTTGATTCTGGGTTTGGGGGGCGAGCAGGTTGGGTTAACGATGCAGGAGTCGTGGCTTCACGTGGTTGCCGCGGGTCCATTTTTTCACTGTGAACAGTCGGAGGGTTTTGACATTGCTTCTAGGGACTCATAGGTCTTGTGTCTGAAATCGAAGCTGCATGATGCAAGTCACGTCTCTTTTTGCATCTCACTAAACTCTCCCGATGATACATGTACTGTACCAGCCCTTGGCGGCTTGCCAACGCAAGTTTCGGAGGAAGAAGCCATGCAGCAAAGTTTGTTGTTGTGCCTTGTCCTTCTCAGAAGAAGAGTGTCTCCCTGTTGCCGGAAAAAAGTAATCACGTTTTGCTGCTTAATCCTACCAGGGGGGCGGAAGTTTTGACAGCACGAGTTTTGAAACATGTGCTCAAAGCCGCGTGATCGAAGCAGTTCCAGTGACGCTGGTGGTGCTGAGGTCTTTGCCACCTGTGCACGCTGGACCCGACGATGCTTCGCAATCGAATCGCCGAGCTGGGGTCACATGATTCGAGACCTGGCTTTCGTCAGAGCTTTGAACTTTGGGAAGTCGAGGACTGTAGGTGAAGAATTTCAGCAGACTCAGTGAACATGGGTGGCGTGCTACCTTGATCCAGTTCTAGGTCCTGCATGCACGAATACCTGCGACAAATCGAATTTGGAGCGCCTGCTCGAAGATGCCTCAGCAGAAGCACATGAGGATGGGAGTATCTGACGAGATTTCCATCATAAGCCGCAGCCAACACTTGACCAAACTAGCTATGATACAAAGTTGTGCTCCGAGTCAGCATACAAGCGCTTCCGGCCATTCTTTCGGCACTCACCCATGGCAAGTCATAGGGCAAGTCTTGAGATCGAAAGCTTAAGCGCTTTCAGGTTCAAGGTTCTGGGTTCAGGGTAAAGGGCCATGCCCAGCCCCCAACAACCCCCCCCTCGAAGGAACGCTGGGTGGCAGACTGGCCGAGCCGGAGAACTTGGACAAGCTTGAGCTGTCAGAGGCGAAGTTTACGGTGCCAAAGTCCTATGCAACAATGTATACATGTGTTGATACATGGAGATTCTTATGCCGACCGCGTGTCAAATATTCAAATAGCTTCCCTCCCCCCCCAAGTAACTGCAGCCCGGCTGTCTTTTCAAAACCTGCAAGCAGCGCGAATCTCGGAATTTTCACCCACGCCTGAGGCTGTCAGCCATTTGGTCTTCATAAGGGAAGATCACCGTGTAGGGGCTGAGTGGCGGAGGGCTTTCTGTGGATGACTCTCTCTCTCTCTCTCTCTCTCTCTCTCTCTCTCTCTCTGGCAACGTTCACATGAGGTCATGTAAGCTGAGGCAGGGTCGCACTAGACAACCCAACCTGTCAGAGGACTATTGCCTTGACAGTACACGCCGCGCTCCCTCGGATGGTATAACCCAAGAGGGCACAGGCTCAACAGTGACAAAGCCAGCCCCCACTCTACAAAATCTGGCATGCCATCACGCGAGTGACACAGGGCCAAACCCGTCACCAGAGCATCAGGACATCTACTGAACTTCACTTGAGCATATCATTGAGTTGATCGAGATAGGTCTGTGGATGACTAACTCCTTACATAATCTACGTGCGCCACCTGGGAGAACTCACTGCTTCCTCGCCTAGCTTCCGATTTCATGTGCAGCTGGGGTCTACAGAGACAGCGTTCCGTTTCGGAGGATCCTCTTACCCCTCTTTCCCTCTTTTCTTTCGGCTCCCCGACAAGGGCCGACCTCCAAATGCCCCCGCATCTACTCGAAACCGCAAACCCCAAATCCCTCAACCCTGCGCCCTGACCCCTAACCTCCCCCGCATGTGCTCGAAACTCTAAACCCTTAACCCTAAACACATCCCTAAACCCCAAAATCCCTAAACCCTGAACCCTAAAACCCTCAACCCTACGCCCTAACCCTGAACCCTGAAGCCTAAACCCTGAACCCCAACATCCCTAAACCCTAAAGACCCTAAAACCCGAAACCCTAACCCTCAACCCCAAACCCTAGAACCCTAAAACCCTCAACCCTTATATTGGTTGGTGGTCTCTTTAAGCAGGGTTTCTGTTTTGTAGGGGTTTCTTAGTGGGGTATCTAAGGGCCCCTACACCCTAAACCCTAAAACCCAAAACCCAAAACCCAAAACCCTAAACCCTAAACCCGGCATAAGGGTAACAGATAAAGCCTTTCCAACTCAAGCCCCTGGGAGGTGGTGGCTTTGGCCAAGGATGCGGCGCACCTCGGAGAGCCCCAGTTGAGGACTCGGGTTTTGGGGTTTAGGGTTTAGGGTTTAGGGTTTAGGGGTTTTAGGGTTTAGGGTTTTGGGGTTTGGGGTTTGGGGTTTAGGGTTTAGGGTTTTGAGGGCCTTCAAAAGGGTCTCACGGGAAGGAAAGGGTTTAGGGTTTTAGGGTTCAAAGGGGGGGGGTTTCAGGGTTCGGGGTACAGAAGTTGAAGAGCCTAGGAAAGAGGAGGATTTCAGGTTTCGGGGTTTGGGGTTTAGGGGTTTAGGGGTTTAGGGGTTTAGGGGTTTAGGGGTTTAGGGGTTTAGGGGTTTAGGGGTTTAGGGGTTTAGGGGTTTAGGGGTTTAGGGGTTTAGGGGTTTAGGGGTTTAGGGGTTTAGGGGGGGTTTAGGGGGTTTAGGGGTTTAGGGGTTTAGGGGTTTAGGGGTGGGGTTTAGGGGTTTAGGGGTTTAGGGGTTTTAGGGGTTTGGGGGTTTTGGGGTTTTGGGGTTTTGGGGTTTTGGGGTTTTGGGGTTTTGGGGTTTTGGGGTTTTGGGGTTTAGGGGTTTAGGGTTTAGGGTTTGGGGTACTAGTATGCCAGAGAGCCGATGTCCCACGAGCACCGCGAGCCGGTGAACCTTAAACCCTAAACCCTAAACACCCTAAACCCTAAACCCTAAAACCCTACACCCTAAACCCAAACCCTAAATCCTAAAACCCTAAACCCTACACCCTAAACCCTAAACCCTAAACCCTAAACCCGAAACCCGAAACTCTAAACCCTAAACCCTCCCTACCAAGGGGCCCTGAGCAGGCTCGCAGCTGCCATCGGCCACCGGGTCGGCATGCCGGGGAGCGGTGGCGCCAAAGATCTCTGCTTGCAAAGACTGGGCGATTGTACTATGGGGGTTCAGGGTTTAAGGTTTAGGGCTGAGGGTTTAGGGTTTAGGGTTTAGGACGGAATAGTTACTAGTAGTATTCCCTTATGGTCCCTTTGTACCTATATAACCCCCCAAAACCCTGTTCTAATTACTAAGCCCCCTAATGTAGGCGGCTCGTGAAGAGCGTCCCATGCAAGCTCTCTTGGGTTGTAAAGGCTTAGGAATTTATTATTTATTATCTGGATTCATCTTTGGAATCTCCGGAACATTCATATCAGTCCTTATAAGAATAGAATTATACTCAGCAGGAAATAGGATTATATCTCCAGAAAATGGCTTTCTTATGATCTTCTTTTTAGTATTGCCTGGCTTGTTTGGACCTATCTTTCAAGGGTCTCCAGAAGTTTAAATCTAAGGGCCCAATCGGGACCACAATTTCGGGAGTTGATCAAGTGCTGAAGGAGAAACCCGGCACCAAAAACGGCTGCTGCACTCTGCTACCAACCGGAGCACCATCAACTCCTCTGACTAGCTCCACAATTATTCTCTCCTAGAGCCGCTCCAGGACTTCCACCCAACAGTTCGTTTGGTTTTTGAAATCCTGAACTGAAATCCTGAACATAGCAGTGCCTGACCGAACCTGCTGAGTTCCGTGCTCGATTGAATCCTGAAAAAATAGGAGGGTGAGCCTTGTCCCCGCGTAGTGACAGTCGCAGTCAGGACGGCGGAATGCACGACTTGAGCCCCCAAGATCTCATCGACCTCATCGGCGCAGCGGGGTCGCTGGGCGGCCGGCTTCACATGATGACCCGAGCACTGTCGAACCAGCTGGAGCCTAGCCGCATGCCCAAGAGATAGGCATTTCTGCACAGTGCTGTTTGGGTGCAGAGGGAGGGAGAGCGGGAGGGAAGAAAGAAGAGCAAGCCAGCAAGCGCATCAATGCAGGTAGGCAGCCGAATTCTGAAAGGTGCAGCCCTGAAGCCCCGAACTTGACTTGTGGAGATTGATTGGGGCCTAAGGGCCCCCCACCCTCTTGAGGCTTGCCGGAGCTTCCCACGTCTTCATTGGTCCAACTCTGCTCGCACCTGGGGGCCTTGAGCCTACGCCGGAGTTTGGTCGCTTTGAGGGTTGGAATTCTAGGCTTCGGGGTGCCCAATTGCCTTCGTTTGCTGGGGAGTTTGGCGTGATTTATCGGGTTTGGGTTTGGCGTGTGAAAACGGTAGGAGATGGCAGCGCTTTGGTTCCGGAGACCTCAAAACCCTATGACCCAAATCTGTACCAAGCCCCACACGGCCCCTAAACCCTAAATCGCCTAAAGCTTCAACCCTTGAGAGAGAAGCCCTCTAAGCCCATAAGCTCTCTAAGCCCATAAGCTCTCTAAGCCCTTAGCCCTAAGCCCTGAACCCTAAACCCTAAACCCTAAGCCCTAAACCCGAGTTAAGGAACATGTTCCCGCAGCGGCTGGCCGCCGCCCTGGAGGAGGCTCTGGCTGTGCGGCTGCGTTGCGAGCCGCCTCGGGCTCAGGGTTTAGGGCTTAGGGCTTAGGGCTTAGGGCTTAGGGCTTAGGGTTTATAGGGTTTAGGGTTTAGGGTTTATAGGGTTTAGGGTTTAGGGTTTATAGGGTTTAGGGTTTAGGCTTTAGGGTTTCGGGTTCAGGGTTTAGGGTTTCGGGCTTAGGGTTCAGTTGGGTGAGCCCTGGAAGGGAGAGAGTCGGGAACGGGGCTTGAGGGTGCGGGGTTCATGCAGGAATGGCGAGCGGATTCTGGGAATTCTCCGACTTCTCCGTAAGGCTTTCAACCTGAAGGCCTTGTGGGGATTTGGGAGTTTTGTTTTTTTTAGATTCGGGTTCAAAGTAAAGGTTTTTTGAGGTTTTTACGGATTTTGTGTGTCCTGCGGAGAAGTTCCCTATGCCTGCTTCGGCAGGATTTAGGCTCAAAAGGCACAACTACACAACATGCCATGTGATGGAGGTTCGCCTAAGATTCACTTTTCTCGAGTTCGTCGATGAGCCAGACGAGTCAGACGAACCGCTTTCACCCAGATCAGCGAGTGAGCCTCCGAGCTTCCGGCCAGTGCATGTGCAACGGACGCCACCACTTGCTGTACCTGTGCCTGCGCATCGCCTTGAAGATGGCGCTGAATTGCCTACTCCAAATCCGGAGCCTCCGCCTGAGCTATGGCCTTCTTTGGGCAGTGCTGGTCATCCAGAACTGTGCTCCCGCAGATGCCTACATTTTGCGAGGGACGTGTGCTCCCATGGCGCAGGGTGCCACTTCTGCCACATGACGACGCACCCCCCAGATCGCAAGATGCAGAGGTCGGATCGCGAGCTGCTCCATAGCCTGTCGCTGCCAGACCTCCTGCGGACTACCTGGAGAGTGCTTGAGAGGCGAATCCAGGCGAGACGTACAGAGGCAGAACCAATCTTCGAGTTGCTCACCCTGGAGCTGAGCCAGGGGTTCATGGGTCCCGCAGGGCGCAGTCGTCCGACAGACCAGCAACTTCAAGAACTTCAGTGGTCCCTAAGTCGCTCAGCTATGAATTTCGCTTCGTTGATAACTTTCATTTCATCGCGATGCCGTCCTGCGAGCAGAGATCAACTGCTGGCACTTTTGGCACGAATGAGAGAGGAAGCCCGTCCATGACCGCTGTTCTCACCAGATCCTGATCGGAAGACTAAGCACATGCTGATGCATTTTTTCATTTTGAATCAAGCCAGGAATACTTTCAAGCCTAGACAACCTGCTACGTGGAGAGTGTCGCTTGACATCTCTTGACATCTCAAATCATCTCATGGGAATCGCTTGACCTGTAGGTATATGCGTGTCCCACCAGTCTCACCGAGTGGTCCAGAGGCTGTCCGAGGATGCTTCGCCCATTGTACAGCGCCGGGCGTTTGTCCATGTGGTCGCCCGGGTGCCCGAGGCCCCAATACTTCATGGGCAGCCCTCACGAAACAAGTGCAGTACCACTCTGGGATCACTTTTGGGGTTTCAGTCTGGACCCCAGGTACGCTGTAAGATTCCCGGAATACCCCACCCCAAACAAAAAAAACAAAACTTAGATCCTCATGAAGTTACTTTAGCGCTACAAGACTTGGAGGACCTGTGCAGGAGTTGGAGGGGAGAACGTGTCGATCTTGCGGTTTCAGTGTTACCGGTGGAAGGGCCCTCAACAAGGGACTTCATTTCTAGGTAGATATATTCACACAGGCACGCACACACACACACACATGAATAGACAAAAGAAGAAGTATATTGTGTGTATATATATATATATATATCTATTTGTATACATACACATGTATGTGTGTTTAAGAATTTTCCATACAGAAGCCCGAAACTAAGGCTACGTCGGACCTATGGGTAGGTCTACCCTAGGCCTACGGGTAGCCTATGTACAGGCCTACGTAGAGGCTATGCGAGGCTACCTATAGGCCTATCCGTAGGCCTACGAGTGGGCTACTGGTAGGCCTCCCTGTAGGCCTACCAGTCGCCTATTGACAGGTACCAGTAGGGCTGTGGATAGCCTACCGGTAGGCCTACCCGTAGGCCTACGGATAGGCTACAAGCAGGCCTATCCGTAGGGCTATAGGTAGGCTACCGGCAGGCCTACCCGTAGGCCTGCGGGTAGGCTGCCGGTAGGCCTACCCGTAGGCCTACGGGTAGGCTACCGGTAGGCCTACCCGCAGCCCTACGGGTAGGCGACCGGCAGGCCTACCCGTAGGCCTACGGGTAGGCTACCGGTAGGCCTACCCGCAGGCCTACGGGTAGGCGACCGGCAGCCCTACCCGCAGGCTTATACGTAGTCGAGGCATAGTAGTAGTGATGATCTCGGGGCTGGGGCTCGGGCACAACAAGGAGGGCCTAAGAGTCCATGCGTGCGTGATTTCTTTTACGGATGCACATGATGTCTCGGGTCGAGAATTTAGGGAGTAGTTTGACGGGTGCTTTCATCGTTTCTCGAGTCCTGGGGCTCGGTCCAGGGCCTACGCCCGAGGCCCTGGACCGAGCCCCAGGACTCGAGAAACGACGAAAGCACCCGTCAAACTGCTCCCTAGATTCTCGACCCGAGACATCATGTGCATCCGTAAAAGAAATCACGCACGCATGGACTCTTAGGCCCTCCTTTTTGTGCTGGAGCCCCAGCCCCGAGATCATCACTACTACTATGCCTCGACTACGTATAAGCCTGCGGTCGCCTACCCGTAGGCCTGCGGGTAGGCCTACCGGTAGCCTACCCGTAGGCCTATGCGTAGGCCTGCCGGTCGCCTACCCGTAGGGCTGCGGGTAGGCCTACCGGTAGCCTACCCGTAGGCCTACGGGTAGGCCTACCGGCAGCCTACCCGCAGGCCTACGGGTAGGCCTACCGGTAGCCTACCCATAGGCCTACGGGTAGGCCTGCCGGTAAAGCCCTACGGATAGGCCTACGCGTAGGCTGCCGCAGACTCTACCGACAGGCCTACGCGTAGCCAGCCGTAGGCCCTACAGCTAGGGCTACGGGTAGCCTATACGTTTGGGCTTCTTTACCGAATTTTCGCATATGTCACGATAACTCCTTTGCTCTGGAGCCGCCCAAAGCCTGAGGCTTCAGGCCCCTGCTGCACTGAAGCTCCTTCGTGCTTTCGGCCGGCTACGATGGCGTTCCCCAGGGGAGCCTGGGACCTTGTTCGGAGTGTTTTTTTTGTTGGTTGGTGTTTGGAGCAGTTCTTCGGGGGTTCTACCGGGCGGCAGCACTGCCGGGCTGGGAATCCCGGACTTGCCTGAGACATACTGCCGCAGGTTGGACACAGGGTTGCTCTCTGTGCTCGGAAGGCTTAGGGACCCTCCAAGGCTCCACCTTGTGAAGTGAAGTGTTCAGGCCCAAGGCAATCAAGCTTGCCCAGAATAGAAATGAACTTGTGGTTGCTTTGGGAGCCAGGCTTTGAAGCACAGGCTTCTTCGGCAAATCAGGGGGGGGAAATACTGTAGTCACACGCCTGATCCCCAAACCCTGAACAAACCGAACCCTGGAGAAGTGAAAGTATGTGCCCATGTGCCCCAATCCACTTCCCAGGTGCTGAGACCAGTGCTGGCGTGCCGCGGCCGGAGCACGGGCTTCCTCTTCTTCCCCTGCTGCGTTCGACATTTTTTCTTCTTTCCGGTTTTTGATGGTTTAGCCGGTTTAGCATAGGGGAAAGTTCGACATTTTCCCCCAGAGAATATCTATGAGCCCCGAGCCTGACACCCCCCACGCTGCCGAGACCTCGAAGCCCCTGTAAAGCCCTCAATCCGCCCAAACCTTAAACCTTGTAGCCTTATGGGGGCTTACGGAAACACGGGACCCCCTAAAAAAAGCGCCCAAATAGTAGGGTTCCCTTTCAAATCAGGACCCCAAGAAGGTACCCCTAATTTCGGAAGCCCCCTGCTCATCCAAGGTGCTTGAGGAAGCCATGCTCCTTGGACACCCTGGGGGGTGCCTCCCTGGGAAGCGTGCTCTATGAGCCACTAGGCCTATAGCGTTGGGGATGAGGGGTTCAGGGCCCAAGGCCCAAACTCCTAAACCTGATAAACTTTCAACACATGGGTGGTTCTGGTCCCTTTTGGGGTCCTGATTATAAGGGTGCCGCACCATATATAGGACCCCCCCATTTGGAGAGCTACCCACGTGCAGCGGCCCATTAAACGCATGCCAAGGCTGTACAGGCTGGACATCTGGGACGAGGAAGCCACCAATGCGGTTTGCCACAGGCGAAGCCACCCCTCATACTAACAGTCATAATGGGGGGGGGGGGGGGGTACTATATTCTTTATTAAGGAGCTGTTCGTATAAGGCAGCAAATTGCCAGTCGCCCTTTTGGTGGTGTGGGACAAGATGGTTCAAGAAGCAAGATTAGGCTGTAAGGTCATGTGCAATGGTGCACCTTCATCAGGGAATCGAAGCACAGATCACCTTAGCTCTTGTAGTTCATAAAGCTAAGTTTCTCTAACAACAAGAGCAGTAGTAACCGAAGCAATAATGACGCACCAGTCGAAACATGAGTAGTTCCAATGCGAAGATCATCATGGTAGCATCCTGGTTCCCAATGTGAGACCTGCTGTCTGAATCATGCAAGACATCCTGGGGCATGCTGCCGAAGGCTTCGTGGACCCCCCGTGGAATGCGAGAGAGATGGCGCGCTGAAGACGGCCGGGTGTTGAAGAGATTTCGGGCGTGGGGAGTGCTTTCTGGGGATTGTATAATTCTGGGGGCCAGAGACTAGGATTGAGGTTTTTGCTGCAGGGTTTTTTGGCTCCCTCAAAACCCTGAACCCTCGACCAGGCTGGCCAGTTCATGGCCACAGCGCTTCCTTGCAAGACGGCGGCCAACCTCCTCCTAGCCATGAGCTGCCCGGTACGGGCCGTGCACTCACCGAGGGGGCTCCCTTTCCAGGTTTCTGGCTCCCTTTGAGAGGTCCCTAAGGCTCCCTAAGTTTCCTTAAGGTTCCCGAGGTACCTGCACCCCCTCATGGTTTTGTCGTGGGCACCCTTAGGTGTTTGAGGGCCTTCGAAGTGGGGTTCGGGGCTTTTCTTGAGTCGCCTTGTTCGCGTTGTGTGCCTGGGCTTGTAGGATCCAGGGTTTAGGGTTTAGGGTTTAGGGTTCAAGGGGAGAAGGCTTAGGGGGGCCACCCGTTGATATCTGACCGTGTGGCGGCGGGCAAGTGCTGTAAATTACAGGACTTCGTGCGTGTGGCTGTGGAAATGGAGGGATTCGTGCGTCAGGAAACCAGGACTAAAACTTAGGGCACTCCATGTACGTCATTTTAGCACACTTTCCCCAAGTGGTCCGTTTGGGGACCGACTGCGAGCGCCAGACCCAGCTGTAGATGTGTTCGATGAGACACGCATTGTATAAAGAGGCAAAAGCGCCGCAAATAGCAGGGTTTTGGGCATGTTCGCAAAATGGCATGAACACTTGTGACAGCGCCTTGTGTTGCTGAACACCAAACATCCTCCAGCAACATGTTGTGTAAAGAGGCAAAACGCCGCAAATAGCAGGATCTTGGGCATGTTCTGGCATGAACTCTTGTGACTGCTTAGGCTACTGAATCTTGAGCCCCCAGCTCCAAGCCGCTAAAGCCCAGCAGACCCAACTCCAGGCATTCGGGGTGTTGAGCACAAAACCCAAAGCCCAATTTCAAGCGCGTTCAATCCTATCCTAAGCCTTAAGCCCTAAACCCTAAACCAAGGCTACTTCTCCGTGGCAGACAAGGAACTGCACCGACGCCTGGTTCAGGCGCAGCAAGCATGCTAAGACCAGGCAGCGCAGGAATTCTTGGGGTTTTGACGCTTAGGGTTTGGGCAAGTTTTGGGAGCCCTTAGCCCCAAGCGACCTCTAAAGCTAGACCTGAAGTCCCAGTGGCCAGAACAAGAGACAGAAGAAGAAGAAGAAGAAGAAGAAGAAGAAGAAGAAGAAGAAGAAGAAGAAGAAGAAGAAGAAGAAGAAGAAGAAGAAGAAGAAGAAGAAGAAGAAGAAGAAGAAGAAGAAGAAGAAGAAGAAGAAGAAGAAGAAGAAGAAGAATAAGAAGAAGAATAATAATAAGAAGAAGAAGAAGAAGAAGAAGAAGAAGGAAGAAGAAGAAGAAGAAGAAGAAGAAGAAGAATAAGAAGAAGAAGAAGAAGAAGAAGAAGAAGAAGAGAAGAGAAGGAGAAGGAGAAGGAGAAGGAGAAGGAGAAGGAGAAGGAAGAAGAAGAAGAAGAGAAGAAGAGAAGGAGAAGAGAAGAGAAGAGAAGGAGAAGGAGAAGGAGAAGGAGAAGGAGAAGGAGAAGGAGAAGGAGAAGGAGAAGGAGAAGGAGAAGGAGAAGGAGAAGGAGAAGGAGAAGAGAAGGAGAAGGAGAAGGAGAAGGAGAAGGAGAAGGAGAAGGAGAAGGAGAAGGAGAAGGAGAAGGAGAAGGAGAAGGAGAAGGAGAAGGAGAAGGAGAAGGAGAAGGAGAAGGAGAAGGAGAAGGAGAAGGCGAGAGAGCGCCGCCGCTTAACGGTGTTGTCGTGACGGTCCAGCCTTGGGTCCAGGGGGGAGGGGTCGCCACCCCCTCCCAGCAAGAGTTTCAAGTCTCCAAAAGATTGGGGGCGCGCAGACAATGCGGGGTTCCCTTAGGCCCTATAGAAAGCAAGAAAGAAAGGGCCCCCTTGAAACAGCCACTTCGGTGGCTATGCATGCTGGAAGGAAGAGATACGGGGCTCGGAACCAGCGCGCAGTTGAAGATATCTCAGCCGCGCCACGTCCACTCGGCAAATCGGTGGCCAGATCGTCTCCGTGTTGCTTCTGCGCGGCTGCAGCTTCCGGGTGTAGGTCCTCAAAACGCTTTGCCAGTCGGATCCAGGCAGGCGCCCCCCTAAACCCGACAGCCTGCATGGCAGCCCCGAACCCGCAGGGTCAGTTCACATGGCGCCAGGAGCTGCTTCGCGCAAAGGACCTGCCCCAGGAGGCCATGTACCAGGCCAGGGGTGGAAGCTGCAGAACACGAGGGTTTAGGGTTTAGGGTTTAGGGTTTAGGGTTTCGGGGCTCAGGGGCCCTTCCGAACAGGTCAAAACCTTCGAGATGGCAATTCGCTCCCTGACCGCAGTGGGTGAAGAGGGGAAGAACCCTAAACCACTGCAGTACCATTGACAAAGCCCACCCCTGAGCCCCAGAGCCCAGAACCCAAAGCCCACAACCCTAACAAGCCCTAAACCCTAAAGAGCCCTAAAAAGCCCTAAAAAGCCCTAAAAAGCCCTAAAAAGCCCTAAAAAGCCCTAAAAAGCCCTAAAAAACCCTAAAAAGCCCTAAAAAGCCCTAAAAAGCCCTAAACCCTAAACCCTAAGCCCTAAGCCCTAAACCCTAAACCCTCAATTCCAGGCCTGGGTCACGCAGCGGTGACCCTGCAGGACAGGGGCCGAGACCCCCGCGCATGAAGACTGGGGTCATTGTTGTAAATCGTTTTTACATGTTTTAATGAATACATTAAGGCCAATAAGAAACAACAAACATGATCATTTCTATAATGATACCCCAACAATGATGCAGAAGAGTGCTTGGAGGTTGAGGTTTAGGGGTTTGCTTCGGGTTTGAGAGTTTCGGCTCTTGATGGCATTGGAACGAAGGATGCTTGCATCTGATGTGTGCCTACGACTAGGACCCAGAGTAGGCCCTTAGTCCCTTTTTTTAGGGTTTGGGGGGTCCCTTTTTGTCCCCCTTTAAACCAAAAAGGGCACCCATTCTATTCCTAGGCTACTCCTGGATCTAGAAGACCCTCCCTCCTCCCCGGACCCCCGGAACGCCAAGGTGATCAGCTTCCCTCTATTTTGGCCCTTATGCACACCTTATACATTGTCCTGAACACAAACCCCAAGCGCAAACTCCAGCCTAAAGCCTAATCCCTGTCAACCCTGAACCCTAACGCCTGAACCCGGAAGCCCATTAAACCCTGCTACACCCTAGTCCCTAGCTCCTAAACCCCAAACCCTAAAACTAATAACCTAAAACCCTAAACCCCAAACCTCAAACCCTACAACTAGTACCCTAAACCCTAAACCCTAAACCCTAAGACTAATACCCTAATACTAATACCCTAAAACCCAAAACCCAAGCCCCAAACCCTGCAGGACCTCGGCGGCCTCGCCGCGCGCTGGCTGTTCAGCGTGCGCGGCGCGGCCGGCGCGCCCGAGCTGCGGGGAGAGTCCGCCTTCGCGGATGAGGTTTCTCAGGTGGCGAGGCCGGGGTTAGGGGTTAGGGTTTGGGGTTTGGGGTTTGGGGTTTAGGGTTTAGGGGTTTTTGGGTTTAGGGTTTAGGGTTTGGGTTTAGGGCTAAGGTGGGTGGGGCGTGCAACCGGGAAAATGTCCACTCGCAAGGTTCGTTTGGGCTGCATGGGCTTGGCATGTATGATTTTAGTTGGTTCAGGGTGGAAGGTTCTCTGACACGAGCAATCTTAATCACGTGTCCTATGGCATACCCTTCAGGGGGTTTTCTTTCGAAAGGACGCAGGACCCCTTGGTTGCGTATGCCGATGGACCATCCTCAAAAGGAGCTGAAATTTGTGTCTTGAGCTATTGGCCCCATGTCGTGTTGCTCATGTCTACACCTGCGGGCACTTCGCCAAATAGGGGACCCCCCAACATACCCTCAAATAGTAAGACCTTCAATGTAGGACCCCCCAAGAAGGACACCCTTATTTTCGGACACCCTATACGAAGCCTTGCTGAGCCAGGAACATCTCCTGGCATCACCGGACGGAGGTGGAAGTGGGCCCGCCCGCCTGCTGCGCTGGGAGATGTTCACTGTAAACGCTTGAAAGTTGAAAGCTTCGGGTTTTGGTTTTGGGGTTTAGGGTTGAGTACCGTGAGCTGAGGTATATGCTGGACTTCGCGGCAGTGAGCGGTGATGGCCACGACGAGGAGCCCACTGCCCAGGCTGAGTATGTTCAAAGGGCATCGGGTTTAAGTTTCCACGTAAACCTGTAGCCGCTGAACCCAAAAACTCCCAGGGTTCTAAGCCAGCATGGGCGTGTCCAGTGCAATCATCAGCATCTGCTTGGTGGCGGTGATTTTTCCGGCCCCGTGGCCTGTAGGCAGGCAAGCACGCAAGCAAGCAAGCACGCAGGCAAGCAAGCTAGCAAGCAAGCTAGCAAGCAAGCTAGCAAGCAAGCACGGAAGCAAGCAAGCAAGCAAGCAAGCAAGCACGGAAGCTTGGAAGCAAGCAAGCAAGCGAGCGAGCAAGCCAAGCAAGCAAGCAAGCAAGCAAGCAAGCAAGCAACAAAGCAAGCAAGCAAGCAAGCAAGCAAGCAAGCACGGAAACAGGCAAGCTAGCAAGCAAGCGAGCAAGCAAGCAAGCGAGCAAGCCAGAAAGCAAGCAAGCAAGGAAGGAAGGAAGGAAGGGTGTGAGCATTGTGTTGCAAATGGCCCCACCACCCCCCCAACACCCCCCCCCCCCCCCCCCCCCCCCCCCCCCCCGGCTTCTGTTAAGCCGTGCAAAGGGTGCTTCAAAGCCTAAGTACTTGTTGAAACCCATCATGTGAGCAGCACCTCCCCAACCCCCCCGCCCCCCCTCGCGTGCTTCAAAGCCTACGAATCTTGCCCCAACCCCCCGTTTGTTTTGTCTTTAAGCCGTGCAAAGCATGCTTCAAAGCCTATGAATCTTGCCGAAACCTGTCGTGTCAGCATTGTGTTTGCAAGGGAGGGGGGGGGGGGCTGCGCCTTGCCCCAACCCCCCGCTTTTTTTGTAAGCCGTGCAAAGCGTGCTTCAAACCCATCATGTGAGCATTTTGTTTGCAAGTAGGGGCAACCTCCCGGCTTTTTTTCAGCCGTGCGAGGCGTGCTTCAATTCTTATGAATCTTGTTGAGACCGCTCGTGTGAGCATTGTGGTTGCAAATGGGGGGGGGGGGGGAAGGGCTGCCCCCCCCAAACCCCCGGCTTCTTTTAAGCCGTGCAAAAAGCATGCTTCAAGCCAAGAAACTGGCCGAAACCCATCGAAAAACCAAGAAAACGAACCAAAAACAACATTAATCAAATTGGGGGGGGGGGGGGGGTTGCGCCCCCGCCCCAACCCCCACCCCCGCCTTATTTAAGCCGTGCAAAGGTTGCTTCAAAACCTATGAATCTTGTTGAAAGCCATCCTTCGATAATAAGAAATCCTACGAAAAGTAGTATGAATCCTGAAGGAATGTAGCTTTTTCCTAGAGAGGGGAAGCCAAGAGGTCCCCGACAAGAAAACGGAAAAGAAATAAGGGAAAAAACGGGAAAAACATGAGGAAACAAATCCAAGCCCCATCTGTTTGCGCTCCAAATACAGACATCCCCAGAGAATATGGCTTTCTCTTGAGACATTAACCCAGCTTAAGCCGCTCGAAGAGGAGAACCCGCCTGATGGCTGGGACGAGAACAAACCAGGGCGCTCGCTGGCACGGTACTGCGTGGCAGTTGAGGTATCGGGAGCTGTGGCACTGCATGTGGCGCTGCAGGATGTTCGACACAGAGTTTAGGATTTGGGGCTGCAGATGATGCACAACACCGTGTCCCTGTGTCCCTGCACCCTGAACAAACTCCCTCCTAAGCCCCAAACCATAAACAAATAGACCCATAAACCCACCAGTCCCCAAAGAATTGTGCAGGCGGATGGCCCGTCACACTTCTACAGGCGCCGGCGCCTGTGTGATCCTCTTTCGCTTTGAGGAGTTTCTTCTTTTTTCCTGCTTGTTCTTCTTTGTTGAAGGGTTTGGATCCTTTACAAAACCCCCTTCAAAAACAAAGGGGCGCTTTTACTCCTAGGTTGCGGGAACCCTACTCCCAACTGCTAAAGTCGTTGCGTTTCTTACATGTGACCAGCAGACATTGCGGGAGAGTGTTTCGGGGGGTCGTTGCGTTTGGGGTGTCTACATGGGGATTTACATGAGAAGTCCGTGCTAGTTTGCTATAAACAAGAGCGGGAAAGGATTATAAGAAAGTCGTGCCTATTCGTAAATCGCAAGAGAACGCGCGCAGCCATGTAAAACCTTGAATTATATCACAAGTGGCTCAACATGACTCAGCTATCCCGACAAAGACGGGAGAACAAGCTGGGTCAAGCAGATTCCTAGAATCTGGCGCACGCAGATGAACCACAGTTATCATGACTGAATAACAGAAAGCACAGCACGCCTTCAAAGTACACTCGCAGGTATCGTCCTTATACAAAAAGTCAATTGTGACAGGTATCGTCCCGACCAGTGAACATTTTCCGGAAACAATGTTATACTATGGTCAGATGCCTTCAAACTACGCTCGCAGATATCGTCCATATACAAGAAGGCAATTGCGAGAGGTATCGTCCCGACCAGAGAAAAGATCCGAAAGCAATGTAGAAAAAACTGAAATGCACTGAAAGTACGTGCTGTTCCTTGGGGATCGAGCGCCAAATGCCTCTCTGAATGATCTGCTTCATGGCTTGTTGGGGACCGCTGTTCCTTGCAGCAAAAGGTGATTGCAAGGACCCTGCCGCGACCCCCTCGTTGCGCCGTGTTCATTAGGGATCTCTACAAAAAACCATGTTTGCAAGGACTTCCGCGTTTGGGAGTAGTTCGTTGCAGGCCTCATGGAAGACCGTGGCACTGGACGTCCACGTCTAAACTTCGACACCGCCTGCTGTCAGCCATGAGATGCTAAGCGCGGTTTCAGCTGGGCTTATGGCATCTTATGGCCATGTGTGAAGGTACTTTGGAAGTAGAATGGGAACCCAACCCCCTGACCTCCTCAATCAACAATAGTTGAGGGATGTGCCGCGAATTTAGGCTGGAGATTTGAGCTTTTTGTACAGGCTTAGGGCAGCTGCGTGCTGGCAAGGAATCCGGGTTGCCCACGTGCCTTTCTATGACTGGCTGCAGCTTGAAGGACGACGGTTTAGGGATGTTTAGGGCTTAAGAGCAGGCATTGTTGCGGATCACTGACGCTTGAGTTCTGGAGCCCCCAGGGGGCTCCAGAACCCTCAGCCCGAAACCGAAGCCCTTAAGCCATACAACCCTAGCACCCTAGATGGGGCAAAAAAGCCTACACCCCAAAAGCCCAAAGCCAGAAAACCCAAACGCAGTTAACACCTGAACCCGAAACCCACGCCCTCAACGAAGCAAAACCACTCCGAAACTGTCGTTCTTTCTTTCTTTTTTTCCCCCTGGGGGGAGCGGGGGGGGGGCACTATTCTTGTAGTAGTCTGTGTGTTCTTCTAACGTTTAGGGGGGTTCCCCCCCGCAACCCCCGAAGCCCCCTGAATCCCAACATGTTGCCTTTGCTCCAGGACTCGCGCAGAAAGAGGCCTATTTGACGGAGCTTCTCCTGAAAGTACACAGCAGCCCCTTCCCCTCGCTGAAGCTGGAAACCCCAAAAGGCGCACCGACAGCGAGGGGCCGGGCTGCGTGCTAAAAATCCACCGCACTGGGTTTTGAGGGTTGATTTAGGAGTAGTTCAGTGGGAGTTTTGCAAGGATTCAGCGCCTGACATCCTATCGGTTATGGTCGGTTGGGGGTGCAGCTTGCCCTAAGCAATTGTGGATGATGGTGCATCCTGTGAGGACTCCACGACAGGTTTCAGAAGCCCTGGGAGCACCGGGTTGTAGGGATGGGGCTCTCTCTGTGGGTTGGATTTCGTTGCTCACAGACCCTCCAGATTGGGATGTTCCCGCTTGTACTAACAGCCCTTTCTAGGGCAACATAATATGCGGTACGACAATCCCTATCAAGGACTGTTAGTATAAGGGGGAACATCCCAACCTCCAGAGATTCCCAGACTTGTCGTCAGCCGGCCCATGCAGGTGCAGCAGATGCCGAGGCTGAGCAGCCCGATGCGATTGGGTCTGGGAGGCTGGGGTTCAGGGGTGCGACAGCTCTAGCCCATTTCTGGGCATAAGCCTTTGTGCGTTATGGGTGCCATCTTTCATGTGTCTATCTTTCCTCCGAAACGCCTGCAAGACTAGAACCCCCCCACAACAACCCCAAACCCAAACCCAAGCCCCCCCTCCCAGCTTTGGCCCTTGGGCTTCGTTGAGGCCCAGAGGCAGCTACATGCAGCGGAAGGTCGCGACGAGATCACGGGCTCTTCAGCCACGGCCCGGCTAAGAGCGGCTAAGGCCGGTGACTTCGATGCCCCCTGCCTGGCCTTCGTCTTTTTGGGGTCCCACCGGGGAGATATCTTACAAGAGCTTCCTGGAGGCTCCCTTCTAGCCCTGCCAGTTGGACTTGGACACGCAAGTGATGTGCAAGAGACCGTCGAGGCTCAGGTGACGATGGGGGCTCACATCGGAAGGGGTCGCCCTGGGCCATTTCAAGGGGAAGGTGCTTTGCAAGATGCCTGGACATTTCGGCGCAGGGTTCCTGTATTCTCCTGTCTGCCCCGCTCTGGATTTGTGAGTGCCTGAACCGCATCGTGCCGCGACACTTTGTCTCATCATAGTCGACGCTCGCCCTCCGACGAAAGTACCCATGGCAACAGTGGCGAGTTCCAGAACTGCACAAGTAGATGCCGCTGCGCGACAGAAAACGGCTCGGACTTTTCGCTTTGAATGCTGCGCGCCCGAAATAGCTCGAAATCTCGAACCGTCAAGAACACCCCGCTAAAAGCAACCCCCCAGTTTCATTCAAAAGCGGGTGGGCTCCCCGGAAATACTACGTTGTCGGCAGTAGGGTGACCCTTAGTCGCCGGGAACACTGCGTCATATTTCAAGAAGCACGGCTTATAGACTGGAAGCACGGATAGCTCCCGCATCTCGACAGCAAAACATGAGCATCAGCCCAACGCCCAGGCAAAATAGCCCCTTTAGCAGTCGGCAGTGTGCTTAGACAACCATGTCAGGGCTTTAATGCAAGATTCCCAAAGCTCCTAAGTTAATAGCGTTTGGGTTCAGGGCTTAGGGCTTAGGGTTCCCTAAGCCCCAAAACCCTAGACTCTTAAGTCAGGGCTGGGCACCCGCTGCTGAGGCCGCCTCTTTGCAGAGGCCTTCCAGTGGATTGACACCTGGCTGGAGGAGCTCAAGGACGCCCTTGACCCACGTTGGGGTGGGGGGTTGTTTCAAGCCAGTTTTTTTGATCCTTTTCTGTTGAGGTTGAGTGTTTAGGGTTCTAGGTTCAGAGAGAAAGGTGCCTGTAGGCAACCGTGCACCCTCAGCCATGAACTTAGAAGCATCTTTCGAGACAATTGTGAGGTCCCCTCCTCCGCGTTCCGGGGGGTTTTGGGGCTTAGGTCCACATCTTCTGCCGCCACCGCCGCATTTTGGCCCTTGGGGGGAATCCCAGCCCTATCTTCAATCGCCAAAGCGCTTTTCATGGGAAACCCTCTCCCAACCCCCAGTGCATCGTGAGCGATGCTTCGGGGCTTCTGCTGGCCTCCCGGCATCGCATCAGCTCGGGGCTTCTTTATGAGAGCCTCATGTAAGTCAAACCCTAAACCCTTAAACCCTAAACCCTAAACCCTAAGCCCTAAACCCTAAACCCTAAACCCTAAACCCTAAACGATCAGGTCAGACTCCAAAGCTTTCATCTCCCCCTCGAAGCGAAGTTTAGGGTTGATCTAGAGCTTGGGGCACCGACCATTGAGTCGGAAGCTGCGGGCTTTGGCATCCAGTGGTTTGAGGCCCTAAGCCCTAAATGGCCCATCCATCCGCCCCCGAAAATCCTCATCACCAAAACGGCCCCTCTCCCGGAATGATGGAGTGATCGTAGCCGGGAAGTATCAACACCCGACAGATGTCAAACCCCTTGAAAACAACTGTGAGGCCGTGAGCCCCCAAGCCCTAAACCATCAGATCCGGAATAGGGTTTTGGGGTTGAGGGTTTAGGGTTCGGGTTTAGGGTTTAGGGTTTAGGGTTTAGGGTTTAGGGTTTAGGGTTTAGGGTTTAGGGTTTAGGGTTTAGGGTTTAGGGTTTAGGGGGTTTAGGGTTTAGGGTTTAGGGTTTAGGGTTTAGGGTTTAGGGTTTAGGGTTTAGGGTTTAGGGTTTAGGGTTTAGGGTTTGGGGTCCCAAACCCCAACTCCCAAAACCCGACAAGTACTTCAGGTCTTAGATTGTTTGGGGGTACCCCCAAAGGGGGGAGGTTTGGGGGACCCGATGAATCAGTTCTGAGGTGCATTTGTCTCGCCTCCCTCCCGCGGGCGATCAGCCTGGATTCCCTGAACGCCTGCGCGTCCGGCGGGGCCGCGACTTGCCTTTTTGGCTGGGCCTTAGGGTGGCTGCCGGTTCAGGTTTTTGCTGGTTTTAGGGGTTTAGTCACGCAAGGAGGGGGATGGGTTGGGATTTTTTTGAAGCGGTGCATGCAGACCACTCTCAACTCCAGCGACTAGTAGCGCCAACACGCTGATCTCTAAACCCTAAACCCGCAACCCTGACGTCAGGAGTGCTTCGCGGCTGCTGACGAGCCCCAAGGTCAGGATCTCTTTTTGCTGCAAACTTCTGCGGCCCCTTGTCTGCGATTTCGGGGGCAGGGCTGTGGCAGGTTGTGCTTCAATGTCTCCTCGGGTGCCGCGCTGCCTCAGTCATTTGCCGAAGTTTGAATACTTCCTTTTTTACCAGCTGCGTCGGTTGCTGCCAGCTGATGTAGTCAGAAGCTTCAGCCCTAGATAATGTAACTGTGCCTATCCTGAAGGGCCGAAGCAAATTTACGACCAAACCCAACAGCCCAAACCTTAAACCCAACAAGCCCCTAAACCTGAATCCTAAGCCCTATAGGCCCTATACACCATCTCAACCCTAAGCCAGTGGGGCCCTTGGAGGGCGTGCGCGAGATCGAGAACAAGACGGCCAATGGGACCGGTGCGCGAAGCGCCCGGGTTCTGCCTCGCCCGGAGGAGCCGACGGCGCCCCAGGCGGAGGCAGAGCTTCAATTCTTCTTAACATGCTTAATTATTTTTCCCCACCCTCGGTGTGGGGTTGTCAGATTTTAAACTCAAACTCTTCTCCTCGCCCGGAACTCTTCTCCTCGCCCGGAACTCTTCTCCCTCATCCCTGGAGTGCCCAACCCCAAATTGTCCCTGGAGTGCCCAACTCTAGAGTGTCCCTGGAGTGCCCAACCCGAGGGTGCAAGGAGTGTCCCCGCCCCAAAGTCTCCCACCCCAGAGTCTCCCTGGAGTGCCCGACCCCAGAGTGTCTGGAGTGCCCAACCCCAGAGGCCCACTCCAGAAACCCAACCCCAGAGTCTCTGTAGAGTGTGCCCGGAGTACCCAGCCCCAGGCTCTTCCTGGAGTGCCCAACCCCACAGAGTCTCCCTCGAGTGCCCAACCCCAGATTGTCCCCAAAGTGCCCAGCCCCAGAGTGTTGCTGGAGTGCCCAACCCCAGAGTATCTCTACCAAGAGAGGGTGGGGATGTTCGAAGTAAAATAATTTATTTCTTTATGCTTTTTGTTTACGGCTTTTAGGGTTTTAATATCGGTTTTCAGGGTTTTCGTGATTTTGCGGCTACGTAGGCCATTTCGACAGGGACTTCGGATGTGTGTGGCGTTGGAGGGATGACCGCTAGATACGAGTAGCAGGTCTCGGCGAGATTACTGGAGGTTTCAGAGATTTTTGGAGGCCCCAGCTGTTATGAGGGTGTATTTGGGGGATTCCTACAACAGGGGTACCCGTTCTTACCCCCAAATCTAGCCGAATCCCCTTGTAACAGGACCCCCAGGATGGTACTTCTATTGTCGGAAACCCGGGTTTAGGGTTTAGGGTTTAGGGTTTAGGGTTTAGGGTTTAGGGTTTAGGGTTTAGGGTTTAGGGTTTAGGGTTGGATGTTCATGCATTCCAAAGTCCTCCTCGCACAGGGGTGGCTGGAATCAATTGTGCGTACCCTGACCTCGCGGCTTGGCTGCTCTGTAGTCAGTCCTGCCTGTGCACAGGCCGATGAAGTCAACTCAAAGGACTTGGCCCCAAACCCTAACCTTTAAAATTTAAACCCCTAACCTTGAAACCCTAAACCTTGGACCTTAAACCCGCATTCGGGGAGTTTTGCAACGAAGCCGAGGATCATCGATCATTTGGCCTCCGGTTCCGGTTGGGGGTTTGGACCCTCGCAGCCCACTACGCCGGAACCTCTGCAAAGTGATATTCAGGGGGCCACCCCCTAAACCCTGAACCCTAAACCCTAAGCCCTACCCCAGAATAAGGGCAAGTCTTAGGCGGTCGGAGAAGTCCGTCTTTGGGCCAGGCGGGATCGTTCTAAATAAGGGGTACCCTTGTAGGAAGCTTTACAAGGACCCCGATGTGGGATGACCCTGAATTTAATTTATGTGGGACCCGGCTCAGGACGGGGAGCCGTGGGTTCGGGCTCGAATCTTCAGTTTCGGGGGGAGAAGTTGCAGGAAATCTGGAGCGGTAGCTAGAGACGGTGGGTGGCAGAGAGCTTCACCCTGACCCAGCATTTAGCATGTCCTTCATCAGTATGCAGGTTGGACGATGAAACAGGTCGTGACGTGCGAAGTTGCACGCTTAAGTTTTAAAGGGGCAGACGACACGGACAAACAAGCATGATGCTCCAACTATATACTTTGGGATGTTCCCCCTTGCACTAACAGTCCTCAGTAGGGATTCTAATAGGGGAGTAATATAGTTCGTATAAAGGGGGGTGTTCCACCCCAATATATACCCACTACTGTGCTTCGGTGTGCTTCTTGTTTGTTCTTTTGGGTGAGAAGCTGTGGAGACGTCTCAGGAGGAGGCGTGTACCTCAGGAGCTCGGCCCAGCGCAGTTTGGGCTTTGGGGGACTTTAGGGATGCTTTTGGGGTACATGGGCTGAGCAACCCTGCCACGTGATCTGAATCTGGCCACGTCCATGCGCTTGTGTGGGAGAGACCTGGGCTCGCTGCCATGTTCTGTGTGTCCTGAGTCTCATACCCCTTACCCTTCCGAAGCACCGCATGGAGCCTGGAGGACTCTTCTTCAAATACTCCGACATCAAGCTGGAGGAGAACATGGAAGCTTCCTTCAGCCTCAACTCTCCTGGAGCAAACTGCAGCAGCAACAGTGCGTTTGGCCCCAACGAGTGCTGCCTCCAGTGACGCGGCTTGAACTGGGGGATCGCCGGAACTTCGTTGGGGCTCTCGAAGCAGGAATGGTTCTATTTTCGAGGAAGAGACCACTCATGTGTCACAAAGCCAAGGGCTGCCACAGATCCCCTCAAACCCCAAAACTACCCCAAAACACACTACAAACCCTTGAAACCCTAAAGCCGTAGAAGCTCTCAACCTTGAGCCTTTGAAGCGTCACAACCCATCCTGACATACCGCAGTGAGAACTGTCTCAGCATCAACCTATCAGGATACAGTATAGTAGGCAAGTCATCTCTTGACCGAAAGACACTGACACTCCGAGACCCACCCGTCCAAACCCCAAGTTGAAGTCCACATCAGGTTCGGCGTCGGCATCGACGCGACCGTGCATGCGGTGCTCCCAAAGGAGCTGACCAAGGATGCGGTGTCCTCGAGTGCTTTTCAGCATGCGGTCCTGTTGATTTCCGTGGGGTGATCAAGGAAAGCTGCTTAATAAAGAAATCTCAGGAACAGGCCGTGCGTGCTTCCTAGAATCAAAGCCCAAGTGGCAACGTCCCAGGTGATGACCACAAAAGTTTCAGCGTGGTATAAGGGGTGGATTCCCCTTTGGGACTCGATGACCTGCAAAATCTGCGGCGAGCCTTGCAACGCCTGCCCCTCCATTAGCCAGTACCTGCCCTCCGTGCCGCTCAGCTTTTGCAATGGCAGAGCCAGGAGGACAAGGCCTTTGTGTGCTTTGTGTACTTTGTGTGCTTGCAATCAGTGACTCAGTGCTGAGCCAAGGTTCCCGTGCCAGCCTCAACCCACGCCCGACTGCCCGATTCCGGCTGGATCGGTGAATGAAAAGGCCAGCGTGACCCTACCGGTCGATGTGCAAAAGACGGTTGCCGGCAGTAAGGCCACTGTGACTTACTCCCTCACGCGTGCGGACGGCTCCATAGTGACCTCTGGCGAGATCTTTGCCAAGGCTTCTTAGCCTAGCAGCCTTCCAGAGCTCTGTTTCCGCGGATCCTGCGCTAGGGCCGCTACTAGAACGCTACTGGCGGGGCCGATTTTCCTGCGGATCTTGCAACCGCGTGCCGTGCGTGAAAAGAGGAATGCCAAAAAGGAACGGCCACAGTCACAGATGGGCATCAGCTTGTTGAGGTAGTGACAGGCAGTGAGTACCGATGCTTAAGCCACTAGGAGAGTGGGGTGCCTTCAGTGGCCCAAGTCTCCAAAAACAAAAATTCGTGGACTCGACCCAACTCCCTGGGGGCTCCTTTCTAAGCCACGGCCAGGATCTGATCAAGAAGGAAGCGTCCGCGCAGGAGAGGCCTTGCGAGGTGTTTTTGCATGGGGTTTAGGGTTTAGGGTTTAGTCCCTCAGGGCTACTGTGAGACCGCTAGGATCCGCTAGGACCTTGTCTCTCGTAGCGTGTTGCGGTCCCGCAGGAGCTTCCATTCCTACACCACCACAGCGCAAGCCTAGTCTGACCTGCAGTCTGCCACCCAAAGCTTTATATAAGTTTTAGTGTACACAAAATTCAAGTCCAAAACCCCAAAGTCCTAAGTTCCACACCCTGCCTCCCCTGACAGGACTCCCGCCGGCCCGAGGCGCAGCGAGTCCGCGAGGTGCCGGTAAGAGCTCCTTTTTTTTGTTTTTTTAAGCTGGGTTTCGGGTTTAAAGCGGCCCCTGATACGCTCGAAGACTAGGGTACGTATGCCTCAACGAGGTCCTTACCTTGGGGATAGTGCGTTTACGTATGCTTTGGGAGTGTTATGGAACTGGAGAGTCTACAGGTAACATGTCGGCGTGCAGTCTTAAGGGGAAATAGAGGAAGTTTAGGGCTTAGGGGTGTCAGGGCTTCTGGGTTTTCATGTAGGGTGTGTGGATTTTGAAAGAAAGGGCGGTTGTTCTGAATTGGGCTTTTTCCTGGCTCCCCGACAATGTCGGGGCCCTGTTTCAAGTGATTACCCAGAAAAGGGAGCCTCGATTTAGGATTTCACCTATGTTCCAAGTCACAAACCCCTAACCCTAAATCCTGAATCCTAAGCCTTCTACATAGAGGGACCCTAGTCACGAAAGCTAGCACAGCTAGGCTTGAGATTTCGAGGAAGCACGGGGAGGGAGGGAACACTTGTGCACCCTGGAGAGGGGGGGTGGGTGACTATTCAATCTGTCAATAAAGGGGGAGGGGGAGCTCGATTGATTCTAGGAAGAATGCATCTGAGGCATTGTGAGGGTCACGCGGGGCATGATTCGGAGAAGTCCGCATCTTCTCATGAGGCTAGACATGTCGGGGCTTTAGGGTGTTTATGAACACTCGACTCAGGGCTTGACTTGTGAGGGTGGTGGTGGTGGTGGTGGTGGTGTGTGCAGGTGTGCGATGTCGGTACATGGTGGTGGAGTGTGACTTTAGGGAACTTCTCAAGTGAAGGCGGAGACGAAGCAGAAAAGGGTCGACGAGCACATGCGCAGCGCCTGCAACCTCCATGCGCACTCCATCCTCATGCCGTGCCCCTGGAAAAGTGGAGAAGATCGGGGTGCGGGTGTAGGGTTTTAGGGTCTAGGAGTCAGGGTTCAGGGTTTAAAGGGTTCAGCGTTTAAGGCTTCCAGGGTCTGGGGCTACATACGGTGTCTTATAAATATTGATGCGTGTAGATATTGTGTGTGTGTGCTTCTCGAATGAAAACAGCAATAAGCGACACCCGACTGCACATCACTGAAATGGGGCTAAGACGGGTGACAAGACCCCAGTGGGTTTAGGGTTTCGCGCGCGCGCGCGCGCGCGCGCGGGTGTGTGTGTGTGTGTGTGTGTGTGTGTGTGTGTGTGTGTGTGTGTGTGTGTGTGTGTGCGTGTGTGCGTGTCTCACTCTCTTTCTCTCTCTGTGTTTCAGTTGGCAGCGTTCCAAGAAAGATTATACCGCAGATCTGCGAGAGATTCTCTTTCTCTAACACTGGTCACTAGTCCCCCTCCTGATCCCCTACCCCAACCCTACACCTCATAAAGCCTACAAGTTTCGCACCTCCCCAAGGCTCCGAAATGTGGACCTAGAGGAGGACGGCCGGGGCCTACCTTGGGTTTGAGGGGCGAGAGAGCTTCCTGTCGTTTAGGGTTTACGATCAGTGCGCGGGCTTTGCACCAGATTCGGAGCCCTCAAGACCCCCCCCAGCCCCTGAAAACCTCCCCAAAACACCCCTTATAAGCCCTTATAAGCCCCATAAGCCCTGAAAAGCCCTTCTTAGCCCCAATAAGCCCTTGCAGCCTTCTCGCCCAGATGTTCGGCTCAGGCCCGACCACCGTTTCCAGGCTCCTGTCATCGTTCGCCTTCCTGTCCATGCCGGGAGCTGTGCTGTTGCTGGTACTTTATGTTGTAGTTATGACGGTTACTCTTGGGTGATTCTTGGGTATTTCTTGGGCATTTGTTGGGTTATTCTTGGGTTGTTCTTGGGCTATGCTTGGTCTATTCTTGGGTTATTCTTGGGTTATTCTTAGGTTATTCTTGGGTTATTATTGGGTTATTCTTCTGACTGCGCCATTCTTCTCCTTGCTGTTGTCGCTGTCGTTGCCCGCGCCATCCGCCATCCTAAGCCCCAAATCGTTACTTGTCCGACATGTTTCAGACCCTCTGACACACTACAGTAGCATTCTACCGGAAAAAATATGTCCATCTTCCTGCAAAAGGAAGCCTCACACTTCTCAACGGCTAAACTCAGGTTTAGTTGGTAGTGCTCTAACAAGTTAAGAACTAGGCCTCGTACTGATCTACGTACCATCGAAACGTCGCGGCATGTTCCACTTCCCAAGTCAGCACGAAGTATGTCGCATGCCGAACCAAAACCCCAAACCCCAAGACCCCTAAACTTCGGGATGTCCCCCCTTATACTAACAGTCCATAATAAGAATTGTCATAGGAGGTACTATAATCCCTGTTCAGGACTGTGAGTATAAGTTGGAACATCCCAACCTAAACTTTTGAAGCCCTTCTGGTTACACCCCAGGCACCACACCTTCAACCTGCCCGAAGGGGGCCTGGACCTTCCGGAGTGAGGGCCTCAGCGGTTTAGGGTTTAGGGTTTAGGGGCCTTAGGTGCCACGGAACTTTTGGGAGCTTGAGGTCTGAAAGGCTTGCAAGGGGGCTTTCACAAGGCTCAGGGCTTTTTGGGGGGCTTTTGAGGGGGCGAGTGGTAGTTTTAGGGACAATTTTGGCTTTGGTTGTTTGCGAGTTTTAAGGATTCGGGGCCGGAACTTTTCTGAATCAGCCTGCCATCAGGCCGGAGCTTTTTGAGATCTATCATCGCCACCGCCGTCATCTTGTAGGCCGGGCTTCGATCCGCAGCTGCCAGGCTACACCAATATACACCAATCAGGTTTAGGGTTTAGGGTTTAGGGTTTAGGGTTTAGAGTTTAGGGTGGTTCCTTGGAAAAGTGGTGTTCCTCAGAGTTCAGGGATTGGTTTTCATGGTGATATGGGCTGCAATGGTTTGCAGAAGTTTGCAGAGACTTGGCGCACAAACTCACACTTTCAGAAAAGAACGCATCTTGGGTTGCAAGACTGCACAAACACGCAGGGCGAAACAAGCAACGGTGGCTAGTGGAGCAGACAGTGCCTTGAGCTCGCGTGGCCAACAGCCCATCTTGCGGACGCGCTTTTCAACCCCCATGAACCTTCAGCCAGTCACTGCTTCTTCGCAGTGGATCTCCTGCTAGTCGAAGATCCTCAACTCATCCAAGCTCTAAGACCGAGTGCGGGCTTGGCCACACTAACTACTGGGGATTTCTTTGAAATCCTCAAGCCCTGTCTCCGCTTGACGCAGGCTGGTTTGATACACGGATGGAGAAGAAGGAGCTCTCACCTCAGTTTTCAGCCCTGCAAGCTTTTGGCTCTAAATTATAGCCCTGTAGAAGACCTGAGTCTACAGAAGACGCCTGTCAGCTCTACACGAAAATGTGCCCCTGGACACCCTGGATGGCTTTCGAGCATCGTTCCTCAGGTATCGGAACTTTAACTCGGTCTTGCAGACGGTGCACGAGCAGTTCTCGGCACTGGATGCGGTGCTCCCCTCGGCTCAGAATGCAAGGGTTCAGGGATGTTGCGGGTTTCGGGTGTTCAGCTGCCGTGGCTTGAAGTGTCGCTCTGCTGAATCAAAGGAATCATGGTTCCAGAATTGACGGTGATGGTTTGAAGTTAAAGTTGCGCAAAGTGGTCTTGGAGTAAGAACCTCCACCCTGGAAGTATGATGAGCCCTGCGAAAGTGCCTTGACAATTCCTACATTGGCACAATGTTGAGTGTCTTGTCAGAATGTGAGGCCAGTTCCATCGACACGGCAGAGTTCGAGTGGGGCTCCATTGGAGGCTTGTTTCTTGTGGAGATTGTACAGAACTCGAATCTGAAGCTTGAAGGGTTTGGAGATCATGATTTGGGTTTGTGTGCCATAGGGTTGATAGCATGGCTCCTAACATGTATATTCTCTAGACGTGAGTAGACTAGACTCGACAGCCAACGCTGTGTGGTGGATCCGCATGCTCGGCGACTTCAGTCGGAGGCGATGTCCACAATGCCGGTCGCTATTGCGTGGTTGGCACGGGCCTTGGGAGACCTCCTCAAGAGGCCCGTGCAGCTCAACTCATGTAGTTGCTGCAGGTGAGCAATGTTGGGAGCCTCTCCAGAGAAGCGAATCAAATCTTCCCCTTTGCCCTTGGCAACGCCCAACCGAGCGGAGTCGGGGGGTGGGAGCTGTGCAGCCGAGGCCGGAAACGTTCGGAGGCGCACCGGCTCACGGTGCAGGGTTTGATAAGCCCGGTATAGCTTCAGAGTATGCGCATTTGTGAGTTCTAGAATATCTGAACGGATTCCGATTCTGAGAACAGTTGAGTTGAGGGGTGTCTGGGGCGCCTTGGTTCAGGGTCAAAAGTCAGACAGCGAGAGAGAGAGAGAGAGAGAGAGAGAGAGAGAGAGAGAGAGAGATAGAGAGAAGAAGAAGAGCGAGAGCGAGAGACAGACAATCGGTGAGCTTGATCGCTTGAGCTAAACGGGTTGCGGCTTGTCAAGAGAATTGCAGCAGGTCACTTGCTGCGAAGATAGAGAGCTGCCCGTCGGTGTTGCTGCACCAGCGTACCTTGCGAGAGCAATCCCAACCGGGATGATGCTGTTTTGTGCATCCACAGGCCGAACGTGGAGAGATCACAAGTGTCACGGAGGACCTAAGCAGCAGTCATGCTAGCTTCGGCTTCTTGCGCTTGCCATCACTGCGCATCCCCTGGTGGCAAGGGCTTGCTGAGGTTTGCTCCACACAGTCGACATTCCAGCCTCATGCTGCCAGGACAAGTCTGGTGCAACATGGGTGGAGCTCAACGTGCAGCTGCTGCAAGTCACGGTGCGCGGGCGCTATGCCCGGGGCCAATTCGCGCGCTCAGGGCATATTGGTGCGGTCCATGACGTTTTGGTCACCACGACCAGCCTCCAAACATCTGCATGGCCCAGGACCACCTTTCAGCCCAAGCCCCGAACTCTGAAGGTCCCCCATGGCCCTAGAACCCGAAACCCTAAACCCTAAACCCTAAACTCTAAACCCTAAACCCTAAACCCTTAAGCCGAGGTCACCCCCCTCGAGGAGGACACCTCTGGGCACGCGGACTTCCGGGACATCCTCCGATTGCGAGGCCGCGAGGCGAAGACGGTGCAGTGCCAGGAGCTCAGAGGATCGCTCAGAACTGTTCGGGGTTTAGGGTTTAGGGTTAAGGGTTTAGGGTTTAGGGTTTAGGGTTTAGGGTTCCCTTACAATATAGGTAACTGTTTAGAGTTGAGAGTACTAATGCAGGGTTCCTTTACAATATAGGTCACCTTTTCATGGTGGAATCCCTTGTAAGACGGATCCGCCGAAATGTAGTTTCACGGGTTCTGCAAGTGCAGTGTTGTGTCTGAAAAATGAGTCAGTATTCTTTTCTATTTTCGTTTTTCGTTACTTCTCTTACTATGATTATGGCACATGATTACGGTCTTTTTCAATTCCTCAGATCATCACTTTAGCCCAAAAGGGTTTTGGTTTTAGGATTTTAAGGAGAGGGTTTCGGGGACATCGTCTGCTTCTTGAATCTTGCATGGCACAATACGGCGACTTTCCATGGACTTGCTCTTCACCTGCCGCAAACTATCGTGCGCCGCGTGATGTTCGCTGCTCAAGTAAGTGTTGATGCTGCTTGCTGCTCGGTTTCACTGCTGAAGGTTGCTGTTCAAGGCATCAGGGGCTGGCCCTGGCACGAATGCCTGTCTGCGCAGAGGCTAGCGAATTCCTGGGAAACTGAACACCCGCTGGAATCTGAACTCAACAACTTGGGGCGTGTGGTTTCTGAGGCAGATGTGAGGTTCACAGTGGTCCGGACGAGCATCAGAAACATCTGTGGCAAAAGACTGAAGATTGTGCAGGTGCAAGTCGTGCAAGTCCACGGCGTTCTGCCTTGCCTTGCGGTTAGCTAGATGGAAATCTCCAACGCTGTCTGAACGAGGAGCTTTCTTGTGCGACCGAAGTTTATGTGGCGAATCGTTCGGGCATGTTAGGAAAAATGGAATGGCATTCATGAGATTTTTCCGCACACCGACCTTCGAATTGGTGCAGTTGTGCAACGGTTTATGTGCCTTGCTCTTGTATGCGCAATTGACATTGCCGGCTTGCATGCTGCTCAAAGTGCCTCTCTAGCGAATGTGCCAACATGCACGGTTGCGTCCGGTCGATGAGAGCACGATTCTGGCAAAGAGCAGCAGGCACCAGACCAACCAAGTGGAAGGTTCACTTCGGGCACGCTGGGTTGTCCCTGGCATTGGTCATCAGGCATGCATGATATCGTTGCCGCGGCAGGGAGCGGGCCATGCTGCGGCCTGCTGACAGCTTCAAAAGAGCTGCTTTTCTTAGCTTCTCCCACAAATCCCTTCAAAATCAAGTCCTTGCAACGAAACCCAAGGCTTTCCCATCGGCGAGCCAGTATGAAAGAGTGCAGGACGTCCACAGCATTGCTGAAATGCTTGTCGGATGCCGTTCATGCTAATGAGGTTGATGGGAGCGTGATCGGTGCAGCCATGCAGACTTGCGGCCACAACTACTGGTGAGAGACACTTATGCAGGTCTATGACAAAGCAGTTTATCTTGACATTGAATTTGGTTGCGTTGAAAGGGCCATCCTCGTCAACGCTATGGCAGCCTGCTTGCAGCACTCCGCTGCTGTCCGACAGAGCTGTTAGCACGCAAGGATCGAGCTCTTAGTTTGAGCAGGCATTCCTGGAAGCAAATGCCGTTGCAATTTTCCGAGCTGAACTACCAATGTATGATTGGGGCTGCTTTCAGAGTCTGCGCTGAAGTCGGTGAGCAGGCGCTGCCGTGGGCAGAAGAGATTCTTAGCTGGTGCAAGAAGCAGACGCATACCATCACCGCATTTGAGTATGGACCCCTTCTGGTGCTCTTTGAGCAGTGCAGGCAGCGCGATCGAGTGGACAGGCTGTTGTTTAAGATTATACAGACAAAGGGGCAGTCTCTGAATGAAGTCCATCTTGGCAGTCTAATCAATGCCGCAGGCAGCGACTGGAAAAGAGTTGAGACGATCTGGGACCTGCTGGTGAACCAGTCATCGTTGAAACCAAATATCATCTGCTACAGAGCTCGGAGTAAGGCACATCTTCTGGCAGGAAGGCCAGCCACAGCTGCAAAGATCATACGAGACATAGGTGCAGCTGGAATGCCAACCGATTCTGCGCGGACAGTAACAACGCACCTTCAAGCGATGTTGATCGTATCCCATGCAGAGCTCACTAAAGCCAACAAGCGGCAGTTGAAAAAGTGTCTATCTGTCGCAGGGGATGTTGATCTGAGCGAGGCTGGCAAAGGACTTGCGGCCAAGTTGAAACAGCTGATCAAAGTGGCAGAGAAGCTGCTGTCGAATCCTTCTTCTTTGCGCTTTGCCGACTTGCTTGTCCTTCAGTTTGCTCAGGAAGGCGCAATGGGGAGTTGGCCCCAATATGCAGCCGGCTCTAAGTATCTGGCCAAAGAGGAGTCTGAGAGGGAGAAAGTACGAGCCTTCCCTTGCCGTAGATTGAGATTTTTGATCAGATGCAAAGCAGTAAGCGACTGGAAAAGGCATCCCGCCAAGACGACTAGAACTTAAATAAAGGAAGTCCCAGTCAGATGAGAGTGTTACCACAAGAGTCCTGGCAGCGTTCCAGGTCGCATAGGCTGCCTGTGCGTGATAGTGATATGGCTGATTGCCAGTGTTCTTGTCGATAGTCTCTCTGTTTACCACCCAGACCCTATTTCGATAAACCCCAAGACCTTACTTCTACTTTGGCCTAAAGGCTGAAAGCCAATCATGTGTTTCAAGCCCTCAATACCCTCAAGCTGCCCAAGCTGAAGCAGCCGATCTCCGCCTTGCTCCCTATTTTGAGGTGCCGCCCTGCTCTCCACGGACCTGGCGCCTGGGTTGCACCCCCCAACCCCCCCTGAGGCATCTCGAACTCCAATAACCTCTGAATAACAATGCCTCGACCCGGAAGTGCGAGCGGTACGCTACTGTAGTGTCTTGCAGGGTGCCCTAAACACGAGGGGCCACTTAGCGACCTGGCCATCTCTGTGCAGTCAATTGGCTGAGGAACCCTTAAACAAATAGATGCGCGTCAACCCTAAACCCTAAACCTGAAACCCTAAAACCCGACTGGACAAAGTGCGGAACCCTACCCACTCAGTTGAATTCTTAGGCTCCAAGCACCGAAGCCCTAAACTTACAAGCCCTTGCGACAAGGGCTCAGGAGACGAGCCCAGGAGCTCCGATGTTGGGTCGGGCTTAGGAGGGTCGAGGATGGATTGGCTGTTTCAACATGTGCTGCGTATAAAGAATGCGACCCTGAGCTTGCAGCCCCAAAAAGCGAGGGGTTCGGACCTCGAGGGGGTGTCGGGTTCATAGGACTTTTGCATGTTGATGGTGTTTGCAGGGGTTTACAATGTAGGGCGCAGGCCTAAGCCCTGAAGCTCAGGTGAAGGTGAGGGAGCTCCTGTCCTTCCCCTTCAGGACGGGGAGTGTTCAGGGCTTGGGGTTGAGGAGCTTGGGGATGTGAGGATTGTCGAGAAGACCTTCCGAGGGGATTCAGGGGATTCCAGGGCTTTCACATGCTTTCGCGTTTTCTGCAGTAGTAGTCATTCTAGGGATGCTCATGCTGAGGGTCGAGGGGTTGGTCAGGTGGGTTGACTAGGCTCCGGGTTGACTCTGTGTTTCGGTACTGATATGGAAAAAGGCGCCGGGCATGTTTATCCAGCGCCCCAACCCCTGCCCAAACTTTCGAAGCTCAGCCAAGTAAGATGCGTCTTTCGCTCAGGACGCTACATTGGACAGAGCGTCCCAGCAACGCCCGGCCCTCTGGGGGTTTTTGAGCGTGAGGGGCGCAGGAGTTCAGGTTTCGGCATGCAGGATTCAGGGCTTGCGGTTTGGGATGTAAAGTCGGAAATGTGTTTTGTTCGCGGGCCGGGCGGCAGCCAAAATAGGCACCTTTCAACTCCCTCCCGACCGCGATGCAGCACCGCTCCCACTAAGCCGTTTAACAGTTTAACATTTTGGAGTTCTGGGTTTATAGGGTTTGCTTAAAGGCGATTCGGTAGCTTGAAATTCGGTGTCGGCTTTGTGGCAGTTTCTGGGATGACATCAGGGCGACGCCTTGCGTGTCTTCAAGGTTACCTGAGCAAATCTCACGTGAAGAACTTAGCCTTAGGCTAGAGAACTTGGGGGAAAATGGCCTCGGTCTCAAACACTGGGGGCAGGATCTGACGTCGGCAAAAAGGTTGGGGCTTTGGGGTTAGGATGGGACAGAATCGGAAGCCTGAATTCCAGTGTCACTCTTGTGTGACTCCGAGCAACGTGCGGCTTCCACCTTCCCTTCCATCTTCTCCAAGGCGCTTCCTGTTCTGACTGATGCAGATCGCATCTACGATGTCGAGGCGCGCGCCAATCCGACATGAGGGGCCTTGGTAGGCGAGGAGTGCTGTTACCACCTAAAGCCTCGCACCCTCAACCCAAAATTGCCTCGACGCCAAAGAGCTGCTGTCGCGCCAGCGCCCCGATGTCCTCCCAGAACGGATCTGGGAAGCTTCTAGAACGCCAGGTCTCTTTCTTTTCGGCCGAATTCCCGCCCGAAAGCCCTGAACTATAAACCCTTAAGCGCCCTAAAGCCCCAAGCTGAACCCTGAAACCTTAAACCCCAAAACCTCCCCACCAGCCGACGCGAGGATCTGGATGCCTCGGAAGGGTTTATCGCTGAGCTCTTCGAGCGGGACACTCTGAGTTGCGGTTCTACTGGCTGTTACTGCTTTGGTTCAGTGAGGTCGGCTCCTACCTTCGGAGCCAACCAGTAGCCAGCAGAAGTTGCTGCAGATGCGAAGAGCCTTTACATCCCGCGCCCTTTTCAGAACCCTACACCCCAAACCACCCACAGCCCCTATAGCCCCAGGCCTGTGCGGCGCCAGTTCTTCGCCCAGCCGGCGGTTCCGCAGGCGCCGAGCTGAAATCCCCCCAACCATCCGCCCATAAACCCTAAACCGTAAACCTAAAATCCCATAAGACCCGTTAACACCCCTAGACCCTAACCCCCTGAAACAGCCCTTGCCGCTTGCAGCCTCTAAGCCTTCCGTCAAGCGCTGGCAAGAGTGATTTGGAGGCCTCTGCTCAGGTGTTTCTTGGTCCCCCCCGGGTCTTCCGATGGCATGAAACCGTAAGCCCCGGCAACAGCCCCAAGTTTCCCGAAGACTGGCTTCCCCCAGGCCCTTTCGCGGTTTTAGGGGGGCTTTGGGGGGCTCGCGGGTCTTGTTCAGGGCCCTCTATGCAATGAACAGGACATCCTCTTCTTCCTGCAAGAGGAGATTCCAGATGGCGCCGTGCCACCCTCAGTTGTCACGGGATCCGTCAGTGAAGGCCTCATGTTCGTATAGTGTCCTCTATCAGTGAACGGTTCTGAAAGACTCATTTTAGCCGGGTAGGGGAGCTTCGCCTTCACCCCTGAATTTCACTGGAACTGGCTGAATAAATCAGAACTGCGACTTCTTCTCTGATTGGTTCCGAATTACTATTCCCACCCCAACATTGCTCCCACGTGTATGCAATGCGATGGCGATAACTTCTTCGTATAGACATGAGGCTGTTGTACTACGTCAATGTTGAGATGGCTGCGCTTTATACTTTATTCACATCTGCTTATACTCCATATCTAGTCTCCTGGCTTCTCCGAAGCTGCTGCCGCAAAAGCTACTATTCATATTCGCATGGCCCTTGAGCTGTTATTTTGTGTTGCCATGATCATCGCAGCTACTGCTGTTGTGGCTTCTGATGCGGGAATCTGCTGAAACTCGTGGCTTTGACCCTCTTTGCTTGTTTTGCTCTTGTTGTCACGAAAGCTAGCTCCTTGGAGCTTGCGAGAGTTGTCGTTTACAAGTCTTCTCTCTAGTGTTCAGCTGGGTCAAAAAGCGACCCCGACCCTTAAGTGGTATGAAAATCAAAGAGATAAGCGGCTGTGGGGGCCCCCCCTTATAGGATTGACAGAATCAATCTCAAGGCGTCACCCCCCCCCATTCAGGGTCGCCTTAATTGATTTCTGGGGAGGGGCCCCCCTTTTGCCCCCCCGCCCCCCCCCCCCCCCTCTTGCTCAGGCTCCTGCTGTTCGAGCTGTCTGCCTGACTCAAAAAAAGCTTGCTTGTCAGCTGCGTTTCTAGCTTTCGTAGCCCGGATCTCAAGCTGAATTAATTTCGAAGACTGTTACTGTATTGCTTGTCGCATTGCTCTTTGCACTTATGAACCCCATATACCCAAACACCTCAAACACTACAAAGCATCCCGAAAGCTTGCGGAGATCGGATTTTGAGCTGGGGCGCCAAGGCTGTGGCTGTCCTGACTGGCGTCCATCCGAGGAGTCCAACCTTCGTCAGGGTCTCCCATGCCCTGGGCGGTTCCAGAAGACTTGGATTCCCGTGTACCTGACTTCCGGTCTATGGTGGCTTGGGTTCAGCCACTTGGTTCTTAGCAGGTTTCAGCAGACCTCCCGCATGGTGGAGGGAGCCAAGGGCTTGCAGACCTCAGTCTTGAGGCCCACTGCGCGATTCCGATTCCCTAACATCCTAAATGGCTCTTAACTTAACCCCGAACCCTGACAACAGGCCTTAAACCCCTAGAACCCCTAAAGCCCTTCACGCCCTTCACGCCGGAGGATCCGTGGCAGAGTGTGGAAGGAAGTGCTCGTCTTCCGCGTGCCGGCCCAAGCAAACTGCACCTAAGCAAACTGCACCTAGCTCTTGGATGTCAGAGCTGCGTGGCTTTCGAGGGTCAAGATTTTTTCTGCTTGTTGGCGTGCCGTTTCAGTCCAACCTTCGGGCTTCGTGGGTATCAGGGTGGATCTATTGATTGTCCCATATTGGGCCAAAGAGGATGGGCTCTTCTCAGGGGGTGTTCAAAGGCTTTCAGCGGGTTCAGAAGGGACAACCTAGATGAAGGTTCGTCATTGGTGATTCGGGTTTCGGGTGTGGATCTCCCCGAAGTTGCTCAGCTCTGTCGACCCGGAGTTCCTAAACACAGCAAAGCCCCTGAACCCTGAACACCAAGCTGTCAACCCTAAGCCCTGAACATATAGGATGCCACGCAACGGGTGAGCTGCCCCTGGCTGCACCTGACATTTCGTGGCACGTCCCGGCCTTCATGGCTAGAAAGCCTAAAAGCAGGAACCCAAGAGACTTTCAACATGTGAGCCTGCAGGAGCTCCGTGTGGTCCACATCTATGGCATCATCAACTATGGGGGTCAGTGCCGGTGGCCCCAGTCAGCCGAGTGCGCAGAGTTTAAGGACGGACATGGGTCATTGAGATGTGCCTGTTGGCCCTCCTTGGAGACAGTTTTTCAATTCCAGGTTCGCTTTTCTCATCTTTCTTGCGACTATGATTGTCTGGCTGGACCCATACACACCTTGGAACTCTGGGTTTGTTTGAAGCGCAAATGCGCCGCCCAGGCTATCGACGGCTGGAGTACTCCACAAACTGCAAGTACGCCTTGGGAGGCCTCTTCCACTTCAGAGCCCAGGAGCCTCCTAACCCAAAATCTCATTTAACCTTCATTTCATGAAGTTCATCTTCCCACTTGCGGCCC